TGTATTTGATGACAAGATCTAGAAATTTAATGGCCAAAACTTGATTTTAGTATTTAAGTATGCAATCGAGAATTTATTATTATACACTCTGAAATTATAAGCTAATGAAAAAGGTGAAGAATAAGGGAATTCGCCATATACTTTATTAAAACCTTAAGGTGTTATTGAGGATAAAAAAGGAGCCAAAATAGCACCAAGAAAGAAAAGGAACTAAAAGGCAAAGAATCTAATAATAAACCTTTTGCGGATGAACTAACATTCATTAAATATTTATTATGGATTAAATTAAGAACCGAATTAACATTTTAATATATAGAAATAATATACATAATGAAGCTTTAAAATATATGGATACTTTAATGAATGAATATAAATAATTTAATGATAATTATTATTAAAGTTTAATCATTGAATATTAAGCAAGAATTAAATTCAAAAAAGATAAACTCTATGGAGATATTGGAGAAATATATTAAGAAATAAATGAATATTAAGAAGCCAAATAATAATTCCCTCCTATTTATTAAATACAATTTTATTTTTAGGGATGACAAAGTAGCCTTTTTATGGCCATTTAAGAATCTCAATTATTATTACATTCTTCCTTTCTCTTAAAATTTTGCAATGAGTCTTGGTTGCTTAATCTAAATACTATATTGAATGTAAAGGTGACTGTGTGAGATAGAGCACAAAATATAACAAATTTTACAACTAATGATAATTATATTTTAAGAAATATTTTTGATTTAGTTTTGTTTGGGAAGATGAAAAAAAGAAAGAACAGCAATCCAAATATATTAAATCTAAAAGTGGGTAAAATATAGAAGGTACTCATTAAAACTCAGTTTTAGAAAACAATTCTGGCTATAGCTAATAAATCAATTTTCAGATTAGTAAATTATTATATTTGTAACCTAAATAATTATGACTGAATTATTGTCATTTGGTAATTAGGTCGAAGTGTTTAAGCTATATTCCTTTTATCCTCTTACCTATATATTTAAATAGAGGAGATATAATATTTTGGTCTTTAAATAAATTTTTATTATAATCTCTCAAAAGTGACTTTATTGGAAGGATCTTAAAATTTCATGTTTTCAATAACATTAATAAGCACTTTACCAATTTCTAAATTAGATTTAATCTTATCTAGTTTCTACTAAATAAGATTGATAAATTAAATAGTATCATTATAATAATTTTCAAACATATTTTTATAGTAGAGAATTAGTGCATAACCTCAATTATATTATAAAATGCCCTTATTAGACCTTATTAAACCAATCGGAATCATGTTGAGGATTAATAGATATAGCTTTGTCATAACATAAAATTGCTTCTTCGTATTTATTCTAATTATATAATGCATATCCTAAATAATAATGTTTAACAATTAATTATCTTTGTTATTCCATGCAAAATCATATTGATTATTAATAGATATAGCTTTGTCTAAGCATACAATTGCTTCTTAATACTTATTCTAATTGTTTAATGCAGATCCTAAATAATAGTTAAATATATTATACCTTCATTAAATAATCTTTTAGATTCTTTAATTTTTTTCTGGTTTTAATCTTCACTCTCAATACTGATTTCTTTAATTATAATTTTATTTTAATCACTAGAATTAATTTAATCACTTCTTTCTTATAAATCTGTGACCATATTTTTAATTGTATCAAGTATATTATTTAATTATATTATTTGTTTTTCTACTAATATTAATTTAATGGATACATATTTATTTTTCTTTTTCTTTTTGAATATAACTTTTTAATTAAGTTGATTTATGACTTAAAAGTCAAATAATCTTTGTTTTATAGTTGTTAGCAAAGACTAGAGTATTTGCATTTAGTGATCTAGTTTTATATTCATTGCATTTAATTTAATTTGATCTGGATGTAATCAGTGATTACTAATTTTTTTAAGTTTTTTCTTTTAATTGCTTATTTTATGGATTGTTTATAACACATAACTAATATTGGAGAGATATGATGTAATTTAATTTGATCATAGAAAATAAAATCATATACAATTTAGGAAATGAAAATTTCTAAAAGGGTATTAATAAACTTTTAATAAGAATAACCTATAAGCAATTATTAAAATAAGAAGTTCTCTTCAAATTGATAAATCCATATGAAAACAGAAAAACTGGAGAGAACGTTAAACAAAATATTATAAGTAAATCTGCTTTTCTATTAATAATTATTTATTTCAGTAGTGAATTAAGTCGGGTAAAAAAGAGAAAAGATTTGGATGCAAAGTATTCCAAATTTTGAAGAAAAAGAAGTGATAATGGATTTAGATAAAGTTTAATATTTATAATAGATAAATATCAAAACTAATCTTTGAAAATGTATTCAAAGAAATTATTGGACTTTTTTCATGATTTATAAATGTCTTCTGTTTTACTTGTAAATATCAAATATGTGCTTAATTCATTCTTCATATAATCATTATTTACTTTAGAATGACACTTTATTGTTGAATGTAGAAGAATTAATGAAAAAAGGATAGAGGATAATATTTTTTAAGAATATCTTTTTTTTCTTAATTTTTAATTCTTCCATCAACTCCGAACATATTGTTTTTGAATTTTATATTTAGTTTTATAAAGTATTAAATAGCCTCTTATTAAAACCTTTAGAATTTATTAGTATTTAATAAGATCAAAGATGAAGTTTTTATGCCATATCTACCAATGCATAACAGATGAAGTTCTTTTTGTAGAAATTGGAGAATGCCTAATATTTTTGAAATAGATTCATGTGTAGTAAAAAAGATTTTTTTTAGGAATATTGGCACTTGTATTGATTCAAGATTTTGCCAACATTATCCAAAAAACTTGTAATGTTCTTAATATAGCTTTTATGAGGAATTAGAAATTATTATTTTAAAGTAAAATAAAACTAATACCAACTAATAAATATTATTACAAGAAATTTAGAAAACTAATCACTGTTGGTCTTCCAAATTGAATCCTAAATTAGAATACTTTAATTAATTAGTTGAATATAATAAATGTAAAGAGCTATTGTAGAATATAGAATTTGGTTCTAAGACATTTACTCAGGATGAACAGTAACCTTAAACAAAAATAGAGTTTTAATAATAACAAAATCTATAAAGTGTTTTATATGAAAGTGAAATCAAATTAAAATTAATTGATTAATCTGTTAAATAGAGTGTTTAATGTAATGCAATAGTTTTTGATTCTTCTGGATAAATAATGGTATCAACAGAAAAGAAATCAATAAAAGTATGGAAGTTTCTAAATGGAAAAATTGAATAAATAAAAACATTGTAAGGACACACTGAATGGATCTAATGTTTAGTCTACAGTAAGAAATAGAATTCCTTTATTTCAGGTGCAAGTGATAATACAATAAGATGTTGGAAATAATTGGACTCATCTGATTGGATCAATTCAGAACCTTATTAATAACATACAAAGGTTGTAATTTGTATTATATTGAATTCAAACGAAGATTTACTATTTTCTGGAAGTTTTGATAAATCAATTAAAGTATGGAAGGTTGATTTTAAATAAAATATATTAACATACATGTATTCATTAGATAAACATAATCATTATGTTACAGCATTAAGTTTAAATTAATCAGAAACATAATTAGTATCATGTGCAACAGATAATAATTAGATTATAATTTGGGAAAGAAGAGAATAAGATAAGTTTGAATTTAAATATTTTGTTAAATAATCAATTTAAGATTATGGGCTTAAGGTGAAGTTTATTAAAAATAATTAATTTATTTGGTAACTGGGGGAAAAGAAATAGACAAACTATATATATTTGAATTAAAAGAAGGAGTCTTTTAAGAAAATTTGGACAAGACTATTCAATTAATTGCAAATAATTAAATATTTGATGAACGTTGTTTTCCAATAATTTATAATAAGGAAAGGAATTTGATAGTAGTAAGACATAAAACTAATATTTATATCATTACGGAAATTAATGATGACAAATTCAAAATAGTTGACTAATTGAATTGTGACACAGAGGATGTTTATGGGACTATCACAAATAATGGACAATATTTAGTCTATTGGGATATTAAAACGGAAGGATATTCAACATATGAATTATTAAATAAATGAATAATTATGATATAATTTATTTATAATTCTTTTTATATTTGTTAAGTAATTTAAATTAGAAAATGCGAATAGTTTTAATATATAAAATTGAATAGATGCAATAATAAAATCAGTGAGGAATCAATTTAGAAAAGCAAATATGAAAATTCTTAGATACAATATTCATAAATTCATGTTTGTTTGAATAATTTTATGAATTCTACTTTAATCGCTTTGATTGCATTTATTTATTTTAAATATTATCTAATCGGGAGAACTATTAAGATGAATAAATTGATCAAATGTAAACATCCTTAGGTTATTGTGGCTGATAAAGAACAAATAAATTGATTAACTTTATGTTTGAAATTAGTTCAAATGAAATCTATTTATTGAAAAGCTTAAAATGGTTGAGAATGTATAGTGATTCAAATTATTGAAAATATTGCATCAATTACAAGGTTGGTTCATAAATATATGACACAGTTGAGGATAATGATGATAAACAATATTGTTGTTTGGTTGGACTGTTAAAGTTCAAAAATATTAAATGATGAATATTGCTTGTCAAGAAATATGTCGAACAATGAAAAACCATACTAAGTTTAATATGTGAAAGGTATAATTATAATGATCTTTGTAAGAGTATAAAGGTAATTGCTATATAATACATAGATATTAGAATTAAAAAGCCTTCGATAAAACCAAATAAGCAATTATATAATCTCTTTTTATTCAAAAGTTTCTATTTTTAATTAAATTGCCTATGTGAATAAATAAGTATTCATTTTTATCCTTTCTCTATCCGAATTATTCTATACTCAAACGTAAAGTAATTTATTTATAAAGTCTGTCCAAATATTAAATTACATTTTTAGAGTAAATAGATTATTTCTAAAAATTTAATTTATTGTATATTATATATTAGACTTGGAGCTGGTTAAATAAATTAAATAATATCTTATTAATTATTTTTGTTAATGATAATTTAGTTTCATTACAAGTATCTTTTTTTATAATATCTTATGTCTTTGAAGAAGGGGAATATATTGATGAAAAAAAAATAGGTAGATGCAAATATATTTATTAAAATAAAGCAATGTATTATGTAAATTTAATTAGTGGTTTTGGATCTTATCAAAGAGGTTAGAAAAAGACAGGGAGGTGGTGGGTAGAATTATGGGAAAGTTTTTGGGATGGAAATTACTCGAAATATAATAATCTATCAGTATAAAAAGGCTCTAATTTATTACACTAAGGATTTAATATTAGCTAGTTCATATAGAATCATTCCAACCAATATATATTAAGTTTAAAATAATTAATTTCAAAAGCTAAGGGTATGAGTAGAAACCATAAAAATGGTTATTGGTAAGATTATATTTTTTTTTAAATTGTTGCTACAAAAATATGAACCTCTTACAAAAATTACTTGAATAGAAATTGAAATATAAACACATTGATAATTCTATGAATTAATTTATTTAAATTCTAGATTTCTAACTGAGATGAATACAAGATTAATTAAGTCCACTTCACCTTCCACCTACACAATAATATCTATATATATATAATAATTTAATATAGATATCAATGAAATTTAATTGATATATTTCACATTCCTATATTCCAGGCTTTTCTTATCCATACAAATAATAATCTTTACTACCTCCTTTATAATAATCAAATTGATAATATCCACCTAAGAAAGAATAACCATCAATAAAATCTCCAACAATATTAATATCATTATTTCCATATACAGGTTTCCTATATCACAATAAATAGCTTTGTCTTTATTCTTTAAAGGATATAGTTTATCATGAGTTTATGAGAATATAAAAGATGATAATGTATCATCTCTAACATAAATACCATATTAATTAGATTAATGCTCCAAAGATATAGCCACTTTTAGATATAAATACCATCAGCAAATTATCTTTATTATTAACTTTCTACCAAAAATATTCTCCCTTTAATCCATCTCTGGTACCTAAATAAATTTCTTATGAACTTTTTAATATTTTCTTTGTTCTCTCTTAAATCGATA